TGGACCAGCCCCTCATCCTGGGTCGTTTCTCTAGCTTCGCTGGGGGCCCGGGGAGAGCCCTAGGAGGCCGAGATAGAGGAACAGAAGCTCGGGCTCCCCTTTCGCCTCAGGACCCCGCCAGAGGAAGAACAGACGGCATCAGGGGGTCCAACGCCGATCCAATAACTCCGCGCGGAGCTCCGAGAATCTCCGTCCTGGTGGTGACGGGAGCTGCCATCTCGGCCGCTCCAAATTGCCTTCCTTGTCCCTGTCGAGAGCTATCGACAAGCCCCTTTGGTGTGACATGTCCCACCCCAACGAAACTTACTTTGTCCCGGGCCGCCCCCCCCCAACAGCAACAAACTCGGCAGGAACACTTCGTCGCCGCAGCGCGGCAGAGGCAGTCCGCACGCGCGCTCGAGCGGTCCGGGCAAAAGGGAAGCGCGAATGAACCGAAGAACTTGGCAGGAAGACGCACGGGCAGCTTTCTCCTCTTCGAAGGACCCCGCTTCCTTCGTGACGACCCCCTCTGCCTCTGCCCGCGGAGCGGCGCTCCCTCTGCTGCAGCCGCAACTCCTCGATCTCGGCCCGCAGCACCCACGCCTCGTCGCGCGGGGAGGGCAGCTGCTCCTCCTCCTCCCTGCTCTCCCCTCCTCCCTCCTCCCTCCCCCTCCTCCCTCCTCCCTTCTCTCTCCTTCCTCCTCCTCCTCTTCCTCCTCCTCCAGGCCACGGTGGCTAAGGAGCTCGACCTCGCTGACAAGTGGGAGCTCAGTCTTCGTGAGCATCGTGAAAAGATTGAAGGAACGGCCGCGGAGCATGACCAGATGGACAAGCGAACCGACGTTAACAAGTTCAGCTTGGCCAACAGGTCAGAGACCCAGGCCGACACACCTGGCAGCCAGGACAACGCCAAGTTAGACTCTCTCTTGGATGTCTCCTTTCGCGTTGGTTGTGGCGAATTGTTCGATGTGGGTGATGACTTCAAACTCTCGACGGCACACAGGGATCATATTGATAAGCGGAGGGTTGAACTGCGGCGCTTGGCTGCAGAGAGTGCGTGAAAGCTGTTTGCTGAGGCCAAATCTGCGATCGAAAAGACCAAGGAAGAGCACGCCTCCCGCAGGGAGCGCATCAAGAAAAAAAGGACAGGTGAAGGTGGAGAAAGCATCCCGGGGGCCCAACCAGGTGCCTCTGCAAGGTCGTCGGCAACAGGGGCATCAGCACCAGCGGCACTGGTACCTGGGGCAGTGGTTGAGTTGGTTGCCGAGGAGCCCAAGGCTGCTGCTGCTGCAGGTATTCGTGAGCGTGCAGCTGCTAACAAGAAACTTTTGCCACAGCCAGGGGCCCCGGAAGGTGCAGCCAAAGCCTGAGGGTGGCCCATGACCTTGCATATGGAGGCGTTTCTAGTTCGCAGGAACGCCGATTCCACTTTCCACACATGCGACTAGAGACTGGCTCGGGGATTGCAAGTGGCACGCAACTGACTGCATCGTCGGGTTCGGGTTCGACGGCGAGACGGTGGGCAGCAGGTGGCGTGCAACTGATTGTGGGCTCACTTTCTCGGTTTCTTTCCGAGGCAGGAGCTGGGTGGGCTCCTGGACAACAATTTCCTTCGGGCCATCAGTTGCCACAAGATGCGGTTGAACCCCCTCCGAAGCCAGCGACCGACACGGGAGCCCGCAGCCAGGGGCACTGAGCGACTGCGGGTGCAGGAGGGACCCCTGGCGCTCCACTCACTTTCTGTGCGAAGGCTGAGACTGCGATGCTGGGCGCCCGCGTCGCGGAATCGGCTGGAGGGAAGGCAGGGGGCGCCAAAAGAAGCAGGCCTTCTGGGTCATCTTCTGGGCGAGGAGTTGGGGGCACCCTCAGATCTGCCCCACATGCTGTAGCTGGAGTTTTGGGTTCGAGGATTGCAGGTGGCGTGAAGCTGACTGCGGGTTTTCGGGCTCGCTCTCAGGCAAGGTTACTGGAGAAGTGGCAGCAAATGGAGTGCAATGGCCTGCTGGCTCGAGTGCGCACATCGGGATTTCCAGGGCAAGAGCTGGTTGGGCTCCTGGACGTGAAACTCCCTCAAGAGATCAATTGCCACAAGATGCTGGTGAAGCCGCTCCGAAGCCAGCGACCGACACGGAAGCCCGCAGCCTGGGGCGACGGCGCTTGTGCGGCCCCCCTCGGCGGCGTCTCTCGGTCCCCTCGGCGGCTAGGGCCGCCGAAGCCTTGCGACGCGCTGTTGGATCGAGGATCGAGGAGGAGAAGGAGGAAAAGGAGGAGGAGAGGAGGAGAAGGAGGAGGCGGAGGATGAGGCGGAGGAGGGATGGGGGACGAGCAGGAGAAGGAGGAGGAGGAGGGGGAAGGAGGGGGAGGAGGAGGAGCAGAAAGAGGAGGAGGATGACCACCGAGGACCGAGGATGGAGGAGAAGGGAACCCAGGCGTTGCACTCGCTCCCACTGCGAGGGCTGGGACTGTGTCGCCCGGCGCCCCGGCGTCGCGGGCTCGGCTGGGGGGGGGAGGTAGGGGGCGCCTCGGAGAGCGGGTCTTCTGGGTCGCCATCGGGGTCAGGCGTTGGGGGCACTCTTCGTCGACGGAAAGCCCAGGATGGAAGGGAGAGCGGGCGGGCCTTCCCAGAAGGCTCGGAAGCCAGCCGGGCTTCCGAACAGTTCTCCTAGCCTTTCCCGAAGACGCAAGGAACACTTTTCGGAGGGCCAGAGGGCTTCTGAGATGCCCCGCCGCCTGATCTGAGAAGGCCTTCGTCTTCTCGCTCCCTCCCCATCGCTCGCCGCCGATTTCGGGCCGTCTTCTGGGTCAGGAGTTGGGAGCGCCCTCAGATCTGCCCCACATGCAGTGGCTGGAGTGTTGGGTTCGAGGATTGCAGGTGGCGTGAAGCTGACTGCGGGTTCAAGCTCGGGCTCGGGCAAGGCAACTGGAGTGAAACCAAGAGAGGCAGTGCAGAGGCCTGCCAGCTCAAGTTTTCACATCTGCATTTCCCCGGCATGAGCTGGGTTGGTTCTTGGACGTGGGTTTCTTTCGAAAGATCTTTTGCCACGTGGTGCGGGTGAACCTAGTCCTAAGCCAGCGACTGTCGAGGCAGCCCGCAGCCAGGGGCACCATGCAACTGCAGGTGGAGGAAAAGGAAACCCAAGCGTTGTGTTCACTTTCTCTCAGGATGCTCACGCCCGCGAGGCTGGCCCAAACACCTTGGGGATGGGTCTCCCCACGGCATCTCCTGCGGCACCACGACCGGGTCGCAGCTGAACCACAAGGTTCTCATTTTCCTGCACGCCGAGCGCGTGAGACAGCTTTCGGTGTCCTTGCCCATGGGCTCCGACAGGAAATCACCAAATACCACCAAGCGACGAGAATGTTCGTTATCTGCGGCTTTCTGACGGGAAACCCAAGGATCACTGGTGGGGGCGCGGACACCCCCCCCTTGCCACACCCAAATCGCTGAGCCTCCCTGCTTCGGACTTGGCCTAAACTGGCAGCGGATGACAGGAGGAGGGGGAGGACGACGAGGACTTCATGTCTGATCAACGTCAAGGAGGAGGAGGATGAGGAGGAGGAGGAGGCGGAAGAAGAAGAGGAGGAAGAGGAACAACTAGGAAAATCCGCCGGCCCCCCTGCGGGGCCATCAGGCTGCAAAGACCTGACCAAACAATAACGGGAAACGTCCTTTTGTGCCCTGGGCTTATGAGATATCCTACGTTCTTAGTATGCGCTGCGCAAGTCTGTCGTGGCGTGCGCGCGTTTGCGCGTGCGCGTGCTTGCGTGGAATATGTGCATGTGTGTCCGTGCGCGGTGGCCTGCGGCACTGCTGCGTTATGCCGAGCTGCCCTACCGTGCTCCTGCGGCCTGCGTGAAGAATGTTGCCTCTCTGTGTGCGTGTGTGTGTGCGTGTGTGTATGTGTCTGTGTCTGTGTGTGCGTGTGCGTATGCATGTGCTATGTGCGTGTGCCTATGTGTGTGGGTGTGCCTATGTGCGTGTGCCTGTGGGTGCGGCTGTGTGAATGGATGTTCTATGTGTTCTGCCGTGTTAAAGATAAAGATAAAGACGGGGCCTTCAAGGCAAGAGGTGGCCAGAACGCAGACTGAGGAGGCCACCTTGGGCCCCCCCCAGACACGTGCAGCACAGACAGAAGGCGAAGCCCCTGGTACGTATATACTACACAAGACAACCATCAAGTGCAGCACTGACAAAAGCATATACTACACAAGACCACACAAGTGCAGGACCGAAAACGATAGAAACGACACTAAATCCCATTCGACTCGCAACTGCACTAACCACTAACTCACTCGCTCACGAGCTACAGTCCTCCGCACAATCTGATAAGGCGATCGATCTCCCTGGCACGCTCAACAGACATCCCAGGCGGAAAGGCTTCAACCAGACGAGGCCCGCACGCGAACCTCGCCCTATGATCTAGCGGCTTCCGTGTGGGAGGAACCCTGAGGCCGAAAGAGTCGCCCTCGATCATGTGCATGAGGTCAACGGCGTTGGCGTGGCGCGTCCAGGCGGGGTCCAAATACCCTGGCGCGCTCCCCCGCCGTAGAATACCACGCATGCCCCAGCAGCTCCCAATCTCGAAAACGTGCGGGGCATCTGCAAAGCGGACTCTCCGCACCCGCAGCACACCACCCGCAGCCTCGGGGACGGCGTCCTCGTCCAGCGATGGCCCCAGCCAGACTCTGGCGACGGCCGCGCGCGCCAGCCACCAGCCAGGGCCACGACGAGATGCCGCACTGCCAGGCTGCGAAACTGGCACGGCGCCCTGCGGCGGGCCCGCGGCCCCACTCACCCCCTCAGAGCCGTCGACCAGGGCGGGGGGGCGCCCCTGGTCGGAAACTCAGCAGCAGCCGCCTCGCCACACGGAGTGTCCTCGTCGCCGTGATCCTCGAACACCTCCTCAACCGAGAGCGGCAGCGGGGAGCACGACGAGTAGCACGTCGCGCCGCACGTGCAGAGGCGGCCGCAGCCGTCCAGCGGCACCCAGCAGCCCGAGCTCGGGACGAAAGGGGGCGCGTCACGACGGAGCCCGCTCTCGGCCTCGAGGGGCGGGGAGCCCTGCGACAGCACGTGAGCCGCGCGCGGGCTGGGTGTCCGCCCTCCTCGCCTCGAGCCTACGCGCGTGCTTCTGGGCCTTGCGCAGCTCGGCATGGCCAGCTGAGACCAGAGACACGCCGCAGGGCCCCTCGGAGTGGAGCGCCACATTGCGCCGAAGGATGTCCAGCGCCTCGGGCCGCTCGCCCGCGAGGAGGGACGTGAGGGCAGGAAGAATACAGGCGACCCTCTCCGCAACCTCCGCGTCGCCGAAGAGGTGCAGCAGCGCATACTCGAAGGCGAGAGCCTTGCGGTCAGCGGCCACCAACCTGCTCTTCAGCTTGAAAATGAGCCGGTCGGCGGACGCGCGCGCACCGGCTGCCCCACGGAGGGGCTCTCCCGCAGCCACCATGCCTAGCTCAGGGGACCCCGCATGGAGCCTTGAGCCAGCATGGCTTGAACCAAAATGGCTACGGAATGTGTTCTGCCGTGTTCCTGCGTGTTCTGCCGTGCTCCTGTGCATTCTGCCATGGTCCTGCTCTGCCGTGCTCCTATGTGCTCTGCCGTGCTCCTGTGTGTTCTGCCGTAATCCTGTGTGATCTGCCGTGCTGTTAGTTGTGCTGCCGTGCTCCTATGTGTTCTGTGTGATCTGCCGCGCTCCTGTGTGTTCGGCCATGCTCCTATGTGTTCTGCCGTGCTCCTTTATACTCTGTGTGTTCGGCCGTGCTCCTCGTGATCCTGCGTGTTCGGCCGTGCTCCCACGTATTCTGCCGTGCTCCTATGTGTACTGCCGTCGTGCTCCTGTGTGTTCCGCCGTGCTCCTGCTTGTCCTGCCGTGCTCCTATGTGTTTTGTGTGTTCTGCCGTGCCCCTGCTTGTTCTGCTGTGCTCTGCCGTGCTCCTCCTGCTCCAGTGCTCTGCCGTGCTCCTGTGTGTTCTGCCGTGCTCCTGTATGTTCTGCCGTGTTCCTGTATGTTCTGTGTTCTGTGTGTTCTGCCGTGCACCTGCGTGTTCTGCCGTGCTCCTGTTTGTTCTGCCGTGCTCCTATGTATTCTGTGATTTCTGCCATGCTCCTCGTGCTCCTGTGTGTTCTGCCGTGCTCCGCGTGTTCTGCCGTGCTCCTGTTTGTTCTGCCGTGCTCCCGTGTGTTCTTTGGGTTCTGTCGTGCTCCTGTGTGTTCTGCCGTGCTCCTGTGTGTTCTGCCGTGCTCTCGCGCGTTCTGCCGTGCTTCTGCGTGTTCGGCTGCCGTGATCCTGCCCATTTTCTGAAGATGTCTCAGGCGAAAAACTCAGTTTTAGCACGCATGGTCTTAAATCAGCCATTTCAGCATCTCATTTTCCGAAGATGTTTCAGGCGATACCCCCATTTCCATACGTATATTAAACTGGCTGTTTTCATGTTTCGTGTGGATAGTCTCAGGTGAAATTCTCGTTTTTGTGAAAGACGGTGTTGCGAGCAACTCATTTCGGTGAGGATGTCTCGAGCGAAATACTACATTTGAGGAATCTCGAGGGCGCTCCTGGGGTCATGTTGGGCCTCGTTTGGGGCTGCCTCGACGCCATCAAGAACATGCCAATGCGATGTCACACACATATCTTTTTTGAGGATGTCCCTAGCGAAATCGTCATTTTTAGAAGCCTGGCTTGGGCCGTCTGGAAGCCTTTTCAAGAGCGATACCAAGACGAGGTTAACAACGTCCATCGCGCGACTCTTCGGGTCTAAGCGCGCTTCCCGTCATCCGCCAGGTTCCGATCAGGACGCGATCCCGTCACCACTTCCCCCCTGGACCCCCCCGCTTGATAAATCCGCCGACCCTGTCGGCGTGTGGAAGAGGCTTCTCCGTCTGCCTCCTCTTCGTCGTCGTCCCCGTCCTTCCCCTTTTCCCATAGCGTCTTCTCCTTTTCCTGGGCCTCCTCCTCAAGCGTTTCGGTCCAAACCGGAATTGAGTAACGTCGTCGAAGGGAAGCCCCTTCCCTTTGATCCCTTCCCTGGCGCGGGGGGGGAATCCGGGGAAGGACCAGGGGGAGGACCGGGGGGAGGACCGGGGGGAGCCCCCGGGGGAACCCCCGGGGGAGGCCCTGCAGGGGGAGCACCCGGGGGAGGTCCCGGGTCAGATACGCACCCCCCCCCCCCCCCCCCCCGAATATGACCTCCAAGATCGCTCATGTACCCCTCGATGCCTCCAGATCGCTCCCAAGAAGCCTACTAGAGGCTCGAAGATCGCGCCAAGATGTCTCCAAGTAGCCACGGAGGCTTCCAAGAACGCTTCCGAGATGGCTCCAGGTAGCCCCGGAGCATCCCAAGGACGTTCCCGAGAGGCCCAAATCATTGATTTCCCATCGTGAAGCGTACACTTTGGGCCTATACGACTTTTCGGCCTTCGCGGCGTTGAAGACAACCCAAGAAACTCCCAAGAAGGCCCCAACACGGCTCAAGAGGTTCCCAAGAGGCGCCCGAAACGGTCCAAGAAGGCGCCGAGACGGGCCCAGAGGCTACCAAGACGGCCCAAAAGGGCCCCAAGACGGGGAGCCCGAACCAAAAATCCGAGTATTCCGCCCCGAAAAGCTCCCTGGAGGCCCCGAGAGGCGCCCAAGAGGCCCCAGGAGGCCCCGAAGAGGCCCCAAGAGGCCCCAAGAGGCCCCCCAAAGGCCCAACATATGCCCCAAGAGACACCCAAACGGCCCCCTCCACCTCCTCCTCCTCGTCCTCCTCCTCCTCCCTTCTCTTGCTCCCCCTCCTCTGGTTCCTCATTTGCAGGATCGCTGTCCTCAGGATCGGCGGCGCCGGCCGTAAGGCCTTCGCCATTTTTTCCCTCCGGGTCTGGGTGCGACGTCCATCGCGCGATTCTTCGAATTTAAGCGCGCTTCCCGTAATCCGCCGTGTCCCGAAGGAGGGGGAACCCGTCGCCACTCCCACCCTGGACCCCCCACTTGATAAATATTCCCCCCTCCGGGCCAGGGTGCGACGTCCATCGCGCGACTCTTCGAGTCCCGTCGCCCGCCAGGTCGCGGCGGAGGTCCGACCCCGCCGCCACTCCCCCCTTGGACCCCCCACTTGACAAATCTATTCCCCTCTGGGCCTGGGTGCGACGTCCATCGCGCGACTATTTACTAATACATATATATATGTGTGTATATATATATATATATATATATATATATATATATATATATATATATATATATATGTAGCACAAAAAACTACTGCAACCCCGAATCAAGAGGCCTCGCCAGCTATCACAAGGCCAACCGCGTGGTCGACCTGCGCGCGTGCGCACCTACAGGCGTCGCGTACGAAGCTACCACCCTCTGGTGGGAGGCTCGCGCATCAGTACCTGGTCCTCTGGCCACGGGGCTTGTGGCAGGCAAGGCAACTCGAAACGGCGCAACGCGGTAGGCGCGGAAAAGCATAGCACACCGATGCTGGAGCCGCCCTTACCAGCAGAGCAAAGTCGGCGACGCTCCAGGATGGCGAAACGAGGGCGGCAGACAGACAGATCGAACACCTGTCTGCGGGCTGCGGGCCGAGCCAAACTCAAAGTCACCAGCGCAGCAAGCCAGAGAACAGGGAAAAGGCAAGAGACACGCCAGCGTTGGACAAACAACCGAACAGTGCAACGGCTGAAACCTCACCAGGGCGAGAACACAAAACTTGGCCGAGTCGAGACGTTGCGGTCACTGTCGGCTCTCACGGGCCACGGAAGAATACTGCGCCAACTTTCCATTTTGCTTGATCCGAAAAACACGGAATTCGTTGGTGTAGTCGACCGCAAACCACCGGAAGTAGGCGCACGGGAAGCTAAGCCACTTGGTGACAGTCGGGTCCCACACGAGCCATCTGGTGGGCGCGATGTCCGCTTTGTTGTGCAGCCGGGGACAGACCGTGCTGAGGGTCCTCAACTCCGTTGCGTCGAGGAAACAAGTACGTCGGTCCGTAGGCTGGCGTTTAGCGTGCACGATGGCCTGTGGTGTCGGGATCATCCTGAGCTTCTTCGAACCAAATGACAGGGTTACAGCGAAACAGGGATGTGATCGAGGCCCCGACGCGTCCCAACAGATGGGCACCCACGCATCTCCCATGGCTGTTGCAACTGCTGTGTCGCCGAGTTGAATAACCCCATAGCGTCGATCTGCCACAACGCCCTGGCCTTCATAGAGATCGGACCACGACCGCGCTCGCCCTCTGGCGAAGATGGCACGGCAGGCGCGGTGATAGTTCCTTGTGCTGTGCAATGGCTCGCTCCCATCATCGGCGTCAGTAGATCTCATGGAACTCGACGGTGATCGTGCGGTCACCGAACGCTCGGCCCTCCAGCGTGGGTAACTTCGGCTAGCGATGGCTCAACAAAGAAGGAGAAACGAAACATGTCCCGCCATCGACTGCATGCATGCTGTGCGGGGGCTTGCGACCCCGCCGACACGCGAGAAACGCCAGAAACCGCTCGAGCCAAGGCCTTCTAAACGCGCTTCCCGTAATCCGCCGTGTCCGGCGGATGGGACACCCCGTCATCACTCCCCCCCTGGACCCCCCCAATTGATGAATATTTCCCCCTCCAGGCCGCTGAGCAGAGTCCATCGCGCGACTCTTCGAGTCTAAGCGCGCTTCCCGTCATCCGCCAGGTCTTGATCAAGGAGGTACCCCGAGCCCTTCCCGCCTCAGACTCCCCCCAATTGAAAATACTTCCCTCTGGGCCGAAACCAACGTCCATCGCGCGACTCTTCGAATTTAAGCGCGCTTCCCGTCATCCGCCAGGTCTTGATAAAGGAGGTACCCCGAGCCCTTCCCCCCGCAAACTCCCCCCAATTGATAATATTTCCCTCCGGGCCAAAACCAACGTTCATCGCGCGACTCTTCGAGTCTATGCGCGCTTCCCGTCATCCGCCAAGTCTTGCCCTTCCCCGAGCCCTTCTCGCCTCAGACTCCCCTCAATTGAAAATACTTCCCTCTGGGCCGAAACCAACGTCCATCGCGCGACTGTTCGAGTCTATGCGCGCTTCCCGTCATCCGCCAGGTCTGAATATTTCGAAGGCCCCGAGCCCTTCCCCCCGCAGACTCCCCCAATGGAAAATATTTCCCTCCGGGCCAGAACCAACGTCCATCGCGCGACTCTTCGAGTGTAAGCGCGCTTCCCGTAATCCGCCAAGTCCCGAATCACGAGGCGATAACGCGCGTTCCCCCTCCAGACCCCCCAAATTGATATATCACTCTGGGCAACCAGACGTCCATCGCGCGACTCTTCGAGTCTTAGCGCGCTTCCCGTCATCCCGCACGTCCCCCCCAGACCCGCCCAGTTGATATATCCCTCTCGGCAATCTCTCTGAGCAACCAGACGTCCACCGCGCGACTCTTCGAGTCTTAGCGCGCTTCCCGTCAAACGTCTTATACGATAACCCCCAAGATACCGATTCTGTTA